CAACAAGGGACATTGCGAGAATAAACAAGAAGATCAAGCCTCCATAACTCATATTTTTGAAAGACAATAATAATCTCACTAGCCTTATTGCAAATACAGATCAACGTATCACCTAGCAAGGGCTCTAGTTAACCAATGGGAGAACATCTAAGATCAATGCAAAGTTGAATATATTAATTATAGAACTTAAGTAAAATCCAATTCTGAGCATGCACATAAATCCAGCTGATTGCACAAATCATAATCAGTAGAAACTAGAAAATATATCTCATATGTATTTTATCTAGAAAACTATTTAGTGCATTAAAACACACATTTATACACACAAAAAAGTACCTCCGAACCATCATCTTCATCTGGTGAAATTCGCCTCTTAACTTGTCTCTCTTTTTCCTCCCTTGCAATTACCTGCAGGTTTCCATTCCGTCAAAACAAGTCAAATGCTCTTAGAAGAACCACTGACCAGCAGCTTACCATGACAAAAGAAAATGAAAGTAAAATTTTAGGTTAAGAGAGCTTTGCCTCATCATCTTCATCATCATCCACTTCATTTTTCTTCCTGAACCGTTTTTTCCGACCTTCAGTCTTTCTGGACTCAGAACCAGTTCGCATGGAAGATCCATCATTGCTGTCATCATCGTCATCAGCATCCAAAATCGTGTAAGTCTTTTGCTTTCTAACCAGCATTGCAGCTTCTCGCTCTTGTTTCTGATAAATCTGACACATAATACAACAAGCATGGCAATGCAATAAAGATATAAGATGCTCCCAACATATAAGTTTTAAAGGATAAACGATGTTCTGATGGTAAATCTATAACTATACGTTCAGTGTGCCTCACATATAAAACAACTAACATTTAAGCCAGATGATTTGTGAGGAACTCTTGCAAAAATCTCTTCAGCAAATGCACAAGTCTCACCCGTTGATGAGCACCCAAATTCAACCAGTTTGCCCACCACATCAGCTGGTGAAGTAGCTTGCTTTGCTGCAACAACAATAATATATTTCCAAAATATTTCACATGAGCCCCAGGCCTCATACATTTTCCAAAATCAGTTTTAGAGATAATATAGAAGAAATTAACAGTATGGAAAGTGGTTTGAAATGAATTACATAGTCCAATAATGTATTGTATGATAGTGGGCTGAGAATATCCCAGTAGTGACATTAACTGGTCTGATACCCATGCCTTCAAACTATCATCATTCCCCATCTTCACTGCATGGAGAGCATAAAACACCAGAAATAAGACTAAAACAAATTGAAAGGCCAAGAAAAACTGAATGAATGAGCTGAAAATACCCATCAGTCATAAAAAGGTTAATCAAAAGTTGCACATTAAAAAAAATACAAAAAAAAACAAAGCAACAAATATTAGATCTTTGCAATAGATGCAGATGTCAAAGATGAGAGGTAGCCACAATAAGATTATCCACGTTAAAGGTGCAAAAAAAAGTGCTTGTTTTACATACATAGGTGCAGTAACTCACCGTGATAAAAAGGAAACAATACTTTGTAAATGAATGCAAGTCTTTCAAAAGTTCATTAAGACTGAAAAAATCAAAAACGGCATAGGAACCCAAGGCAATCAAACTTGGCTAGTATGAGCTATATTTTGAATACTTTGAACCTTCAAAGTTCAAAATAAAGCCAATGTTTTAAAAACCAAACTGCACATCAGACTGGAAGTGCCAGCAAATCACAATTTTTATGCTGGTTAGAACAGTAGTCAAACAAGTGATGTAATAATTAAATGAAAAAATAATATTATATGCATATAGCGCCACAATTTGTCGAGTTATCAATACAGTAGCATCACAAATCCATAATATATCTAATTTTCAATATAATAACGCTACAATAAGTGAAATTTCCATTAAAATAACACCGCAATATGGTTCTCTGTTTCTAAATTAAACGAGGTGCATATATCAGTCATCTACTTTCCACACTATGCATCAGGAGCATTTATATCGTCATAACCCTCCAGAATCATCTTTATATGCATATAAAATTTTAGATATTTGATTCTATAAATATTAAAACCCAATATACTTACATAACTGTCATCCAAGCAACACAATATTCAAAACATAGATATAAAAACAATCCAGAGTAGTAAACCAGCAGAAAACAATCAGAGAATACTCTGTATAAATGCATGATTTATAATTTCAATCCAAATAATAAAACCAATTAGACAATGAATCATTTATATAATTAAAATTTCAGACAATGAATCAATCGTGTAATTTTTAATGGCCAAAAAATCGTGTCATTTATAATTGACGCGCTACAAGAACAATGAATCAGAGAGTATAAGGTTATGATTTGCTCTCTTCATTTGTTTGATTGTATTTTTGTAGTCTCGTGGCATTTTTTTTATTTTTTTTCAGGTTACACCAGACCTCCCTAGTGTAAAGAATTTTTTGAATGAAATTCCCATTTTGACAAAAAAAAAAAAACAAACCCACCACAAGAACAATGAATCAGAGAGTAGGGACAGGGACTTTACATGGAGGCCACAAGATTGAGAGAGGAACGAGCTTTAGGTGCGATGGAGCGAAGAGAGTGAAAGGCCACGAACCACAAGCTTCGACTTCAGATTGAATGAAGACCAGCGACGCCGAAGAGAAAGACGGAGAAGGAAAAGGAAGACCAGTGACTCACGGGGGAAGATGGAGAGACCGTCAACGGCAAAGTTGCAGGAGCATGCGACTGTGCGAGAATAAATCAGAGCGAAGTGTATGAGAGCAAGACCGCGACTGCAGGGGCGGAACGGAACCAGGCAACCAGCCTTGAAGGCTCCAATGGGGCCAATTTTTAAAAAATACAAAGGTCTCGAACCATTAAATTAAATTAATATTAGTTAAGCCCAACAAATTTTTTTAAAAATAAATTAACATCGACTTAAATTATTGTAAATTCAAAAATTTTAATCATAAATAAGTATTTAAATATTAAATATAATATTTAAATTATAATAGAAATTTTTATTTGTAACTATTTAAATTAGAGAGTATTCAATTTGAATTATTTTCAATTGATTCGATTTTGTTTGGGTCATATTAAGATGACTCTCATCCCAACCCAAAAACAATTGAAACGGGACCTTATGAGGTGGGATGAAGAAGAAATTTAGAATAGGACACAAGATTACCCTCGAGACATTCCATCATAAATATTATATATATATATATATATTATTTTTTAAATATATATTAATTATATTAATATAATTTATACTCATGGTAATTATATCAATTATAATTTTAATACATGCAATTCTTATTTAAAATTAAAAATTTTTTATATTAATAATTTTAATGATATAGATTTATAGAGTAAATATTACAGGATAATATGTTTCTTTATAATATATTAATATAATTTATTCTTATATTTCTTTATTTAATAATTTTTGTTTATATCATACCTTTTGCTTTATTTCATGTTTTAATTAAAGAAGAAGAACAACGTCTTGATATTGTGTTCGGTTTGTTTGTGATTGTTACTCTTACAGCCTGAAGATAACTTGTAATTACTATCATAATATGTTATGCATTTATAGCTATAATTAATAAAATTTAATAATTAACTTTAAATTTACTTTTATATTTAAGAAGAACAATATGTACTCATATTGTTTTAATTTTAGACTTAAGAAATCATGTGATTTAAAAATTTAATGAATGTTATTATCCAGACCTTTCTCCCGCATTGTCCAATTTATCGAGATGGTGAGATGTTTCGATCTCATCTCAATCATGTTCCAATTCCTAACAGGATAAAATGACTTTTGAGATGAAATGGGACACAGTATCAAAATTTAGTGCCGGTCTTTTTTCAAAATGGGACATAAGACAAGAATGTTCTAATTCCATCCCATTTCATGAATTCTCCTAGTTTGAATTGATATTTATGATTCATTTTGTGATTTTTTTTTTTGAGAAACTAACTATCATTAATTTATTTCTTTATAACCTAACTTTCATTCTTCCAAATATAAATGTATACATAAGTATTTCAATAAAATTGGAAAAAAAAAAACACAAGATACCTTTTTTTTAACAAAAAAGTGCATTCCTAGACTAAAAATAAGTATAACATGACTGAGCCTATAAGTACAACCTTTACATCATCCATCACCTCTCGTGGCATAGGTGAGAATGATTAAAAATATAAAAAATTATATTTATAAAATGAGACATCTTAACAAAATAGCTAATATATAAATTAGAGAATTTATTAAAATGATGAATAACTAAGTTTCAATCCTTATGAAATAAAAGTCTCACTTCATCAACTGGAAATGACATATTTGTTCATACTTTAAAATTTAAAATAAGATTGCAATTAAAAATTAGCAATTACATTTTTTTCAAGGAGATGACAGTTTTCTTGAAAAAATGATTATAACATGATAGCAAATTATAAGCTGTTTTTTTATGAATTTCTTTATCTGTGAAGCCTACCAAGTAACAATCAATTATTATTTCCTTTTAACAAATGACTAATTTTCTTAAAAAAGTAGTTAAAATAAAGTAATAAAATTGCTATATGCAAAAATTTTATTAGAAAGCTCAACAATTAAAAATTAATCACGACCATCTTTTGGAAAATAATTAAAAGTAAATAGAAAATTACAAATTTCATTGTGCAAATTTTTTTATTAACAAAATCCAATAATTAAAAATTAATCACTATTTTTCTAAAAATGACTAAAAAATATTAAATTATAAGGTGTTTTGTACAAACTTATTTATTAATGAAGTTTAATGATTAAAAATCAGTCACTATTCTTTAAAAAAATTAACTTTCTTAAAAAATGACTAGAACGTAATTAAATTTATCTTTTTAGAGGGGCAAAAAAAATCTTTTTATATTAAAACCAATTGGCAAATAAATCCCAAAAACTAAAAAACAATGCTAATTAATTATCATTTGCATTTTCGGGGTGTTCTATTCTCAATTCCCTCCAACCTTAATCTAAGACATAAATAGCAGAAAACCCCACGTGATCTTCACCCTGCATCTGTGCTTCAAGAGTCAGACCCTCGTCCCGGTGAGCTCGCTGTCACTGAACCTCGTCTCGCCGCGTGTCGTCCCAGCGTTGTCTAGCCGTTGTCATCTCGCCATCGGTGAGTTTCCCAGAATCCTTGTAGGTGATGCTTATTATTTGCTCTGATTTTATCTTTCATTCTTATTTACCAGTCTTCGATCACTTTTCGCTACTCTAGTTACCTCTTTTTCTCTGGGGTTCGGTATTTGATCTGATATCATACTCATTGAAGTTTCGACTATGGACGGCTTTCTTCAAAAGTGTTTCTGCACTTTATAAGCTTCGCTCTCGCGCAGTGAGTGTGAAGCGGAAAATCCCTGACTTATTTTTTTTCTCCCAGTTGCAAAGGCTGCAAGTTCAGCGTGTGAAATTGCATTTGTGTCTGAATGGCTGTTCCTCATGCCCACATGCTTCAATCTGCGAACTTCTTGCGCAAGAGCTGTCTGCATCTTTCGCACTATGACTGTGGTAAATACAATGGTAAGAGAGGACGCCCTCGTGTAGCTTTTGCTTCAATTCAGCAATCAGAGAGAGACGTTTCCATTGACCCCAAGGTATTTACAAATATTTCAAGTAGCTTGATCTCTATGTGTGAGACATGCTGCACAAATTCTCGTTTTCTGCATTATCATTGAATCCCTTATACTTTCAAGTAATTCATCAATTATGCACTGAAATATAAATTATAAAATGAGCATTCCCTATCTTCTGTTTTTGGGTGGCATAAAATAGTAATTGGATTCTTCCAACCCTATTTCTGTTGCTGAAGTCGAACCTTCCTTAATTGGCTTTTAAGGATTATTAGATTGACAAGGTGCATCCATTTTTCTCTAAGGCAGTGGTCACTGAAAACAGCCTTATAAAGTTTGTGATCCTACATTATGTTATATATGTTCCACAGACATCATGAGGTAGGGATGGAATCATAAGAGCCAAGGAGAGTAAAAAAGGAGTTTGATGCTTATTTAGGATCTTAGCTAGGAAATTGCCATAGGGAGCTATTGAGAAAATAAGAAACTAAGTTTATTCACCCAGTCGATAGCTAGGTTGCATAGATACAGGTACGAGTATTGGATACGATACGGCATGACATGGCGATACGGCAGATTTTAAAAATTTTAGGATACAGGTGCGGGAATATATAAATTTTTTTTTATAAATGCAAGCAACACGTCAACTATTAAAAGTGCATAGCTATTTAATGAAATATAAAGTATTACCAAGTACATTACATTTCATCATCCTCATTTTCCATTATGTTACTAGACTCTCCTATAATTTCTTGCTTTAAAATGGGTTCATCAAGTGACAAGCTTGCCATCTCAAGACTATTGGCAACATCAAATGACTCCATAGTGTCTCCACCAATATCCCACATTTTACTCTACCTAATGTGATACTTTTCACTCTTCCTTGACAAGAGACGAAAATTAGTATGCACATAAACTAAGTCTTTAACTCTTTTAGGAGTGGTTTTGTTTCTCATCAATGAGTGAACAAAGGAGTAAGTGTTCCAATTTCTTTCACAACAAGAGTAAGAGCACGGTTGACCTAGAAGTTTCAATACAAGCCTCTGGAGAATAGGGGGTGAAAGAATCATAATTTAACCACCACTCTTTAGGTTCTAAATTCCATCTATCTTGCAAGCAATCAAATGATAAATAAAAGTCTAAACTTTCAGCAAATTTTGGGAACTCTTGGAAAACTGCCTTTCTCTCCTCAGGATCAGTATAGTACTTATGAAGGCACTTTACTCTATCAGATGATATTTCATTATTTAAATGAGGAGGAACTCTATTGGGAGAACTTTCAAGCCATTGGGGTGTATAATACCTATGACATTTGCCAAAAAAAAAGTATTAAAAACAAAACTAAATAATTCATGAATGGTAAATATTGCAATAATACTATTACTAACCTAGGATTCAATGAATGTGTAAGACAATGAAGGGGAGTGTAATTCTTTATCCACTGATCAATAATGATTCTATAAACATCATGGAAACTTGAATACTTAGAAAGATCTTTATTCTCATACTTGTAAATGGACTCCTTCACTTGCTCTATCATTGAACCCCACATTTCATAAATTAAATGACGTATAGGCTTATTTTTATTAGCCATTCGAAGCATGTCATAAATTGGTCTAGTAAAGGAAAGTATATAATCCACCTTATCCCACCAAGAGTCATTAAGAATCAAATTTTTAACCGTGGTTGCCTTTTCAATATCATCTTCCTTATAAGCATTCTATGCTGCACTTATCACCATTGTGCGAAGAGAAGTTTTAATGAGCTTGAGTCTTTTCAGCATAACAATCGTGGATGCAAATCGAGTGTTAGCTATGGCAAGTAATTTTAATGGCACAAATTCATTAAAAATTGCCAATCGCATAGAATGATACATGATAAATGTTCTAATAAAAACAGCATCATCCTTAACCTCCTCTATCCAATGGCATTCATCATACACAATTTCATTTGCCTCTATATTTTTTGCTGCACATGTATTTTTTAATGCAAGATTGAGTGTATGCACAACACATGGCGTCCAGAAAATGGTGAGATACTTGGCCTCTATAAGTCTACCTGTAGATTTGCAAACAGATGCATTATCAGTAATTATTTGAACCACATTCTAAGGCTTGACCTCTTTAATCACTTGACGCATCAGGTCAGCCATAAAATGTTTGTCTTTATATTTTTTAGATCCATCAATTGCCTTAAAAAACATGGGATCCCCATCAAATATAGCCATAAAATTAATCAAAGGCCTCCTTTGAGCATTTCTCCAACCATCTATGATTATGCTCACTCCTTTCAAATGCCAAGTCCCTTTAATTGGCTTAAATAACTTCTTTGTATGAGCTCTTTCTCTTTGTAACAATGGGCTCCGTAATGCATTATAACCGAGAGAGGTTTGTATCCAGGAATGATATTATTGGCAGCATATTAATATGAACTGATAAAATATGGATTGCGTGCCAAATGAAAAGATAAACTACTTGTATAAAACATTCTTGTAATTTCGGCATGTAGATTTTCTCTAGCCCCTTGTTGGAAGGCTTTTTCTAATGAACTTACTGCCTTTCTCTTGCTTTGGTTAAATTCACTTGTCATAACATTTAAGGGAGATGAACCTTCAGTTGGGGCTGGTAATGGCACTTGCTTTGGCTTGGTCTAATTATCAGCATCTTCTTGTAATGTTCTCATCTCAACTAGGCAATACTCATCAACTTTCGGGTATATAGCAATTCCTTTGCTAAAAGTTTTTAACAAGTGCCACTTAACTTTAGAGTAAGCGCCATTAAATTCTTTGTTACAATAATTACTCCTCTAATATCTATTTCCACCCCTTGGTATGTCCCTATTTTTATTCACCAAAGTGATATAGCACCATAAGGGAGTTCCATCTTTTGTAGCTCATTTGTAGAAGAATAACGAGTTGTTAAATTAATACTTCCCCTAGAACTACTGGTTATAGCAATATCTAATTAAAAAAAGAAAAAAAACAAATTGAAATAAACTTATATCAAATAGCATTGCTGGACTAGAACCATTGAAATGCAGATTGAGCAACATAATATCATAATAATATAAAATAGAAAGCAGGTGAGCATAGGTTCTGTGTGCACATATGAACAATGCAATACAACATATTAAATTAATAAATACTAGTCAAATTTTCAAAGGAGGAATAGAACAGAGCATGTGAGCTAAGCAGCAACATAATAGAATAATAAGAAACAAAGAGGCGAGTAGTGAGCTGAAATGAAGCAGTGAGCAACACAATAAAATAACAAGCTCATTTTAGCTTACGGTTTTAGCGTGAGACACAAGATAGACATTGATAAGCTGAGCAACCGAGAATAGGTTCAAGGCAATGCAAACAGGAAGGCACGGTGGCGTGTTCCAAGGGTCCGTAGAGGAGCACAGTGGTGCAATTTGGGACTCAATGAGAAGAGAGTGATGAACGATTGAGTTTGAGAGTTAGGAGAGAATGGAGAATCTGTTGATCTGAAAAGGTTCGATCTACTTGATGCTTTGTAAATTAGGGCTTTAGGCAATTATTTTTATGCAAAACACAGTGTCCCGCATCGAAGCTATGTCCCATAGGGTCACGCCATGTTGCATCACCCAAAAAAAAAAAGGTGTCAGACACGGACGTACTTGCATGGAGCAAGTGTTCGTGTCCAGTGCATATCTGACACGGATATGCCACCAAAATCAGTGTATCCATGCTTCCAAGGTTGACAGTCCCTTCTTGAGGAAGCCAACCCTCTTTCGCAGATAGTAATTACATTTGCAGAAATAGCATATAAGTTTACTAACATCTGAAAATATATCCTAAGAGATAGCATATTAAAATTTAGATTTTCTCTTTCACACAAGCATAGGCATGCTGTATAGGTACGGCTGTGTATGGAAAAAATTTGAGATTGAATCTTGAACTTCCCTGGTAGTGTGTTATTGATTAATTACTGTCTCTAGTAAGGATATTAAAGAAAAGGAGTTGGTTCTTGGTTGACTGTTTGATATTTTTCATAGTTGTTCTTGGCATTTCCTAGTATTGTTATGCAGCACTCTTGTGGTTGATTCTGCATTCGTTTTTGTAATACATAAAATTGTGCAAGGTGGCCAAGTGATTGAGTCAACTGGTAAAATTATTCTACTTTGGTTTGTATTACTCAAGTCATAGCAGTAATTTGCCTATAGATGTGATTGTCATTTAGATAGAATAAACTTATTTCAGGTTGAATTACTTCTGGACAGTGTGAAATGGGATGGCAAAGGTTTAGCAGTGGCAATAGCTCAAAATGTGGACACAGGAGCCATACTCATGCAAGGTTTTGCCAATAGAGATGCTGTAGCTACAACCATATCCTCTCGCAAGGCAACATTCTATAGCCGGTCACGGTCAACATTATGGACAAAGGGAGAGACCTCTAATAATTTTATTAATGTTCATGATATCTTCCTTGATTGTGATCATGATTCTGTAAGATCCTTTTTTCCTCTTCATGCTAAACTATTTTATTTTGCCTTTAGTAGTTCTAATGGAATGCAATACCATTTCTTTTGTAATTATTGTCTTTTAGATTATATACCTTGGGAAGCCTGATGGGCCAACCTGTCACACCGGGTCAGAGACATGCTATTATACATCCGTCTTTGACTTGTTAAAAGGGCAAGAGGTAGCTTCAATCAGTCAATCATTGCATTTTAGCTAAGTGATTCACTGATTTAGGTCATCTATGACAGGCCAAAGGAAGTAGATTAGCTTTAACCTCATTGTATGCACTGGAGTCAACAATCTCCCAGCGCAAAGCAGAGTTAGCAGGAGGAGAAACTGGAAAGCCTTCATGGACAAAGCGATTACTGCTTGACCATCATTTGCTGTGCTCTAAAATCCGGTAAGGTATTTCATGTAATCATGTTATTTTCTGGCCACACTGTGGAATTGCATTTGTATAGTGATTTTCTTTAAACTCTACTCATTTTTCTTATAAATTGTACTTGCTTGAAAAGAAAATGCGGATCAAACACATAAAAATTGTATCTTTAGATTATAACCATAACTTGCACTGACAGGGAGGAGGCAGATGAGTTGTGTCAAACACTCGAGAAGAACGAGGACAAGTCACGAGCTGCCTCAGAGATGGCAGATGTAATATATCATGCCATGGTTTTGCTGGCAAATAAAGAAGTGAAAGTAGAAGATGTTTTGGAGGTTCTTCGAAGGAGATTTTCTCAATCTGGTATTGAGGAAAAGAGAAGTCGAGTGTCTCAAAAATCAGAGGAACATTGATGATTCTGTCAATTCTGCTTCTGAAACACCATTTTGGGCCTGTGGGGATGGTGGATGGGATTCAGCTTGCATGCGCATCAGCAAACATGTTCACTTTGCATGGATACTGTTGCCATATTTTGATGTGCATTTTTTTTTTAATACTTGTAGTTTATGTGATTGTTATCCTCACAATTTCCCCTCAACCAGTTTTGCACATTTTAAAGGCTTTGTTAAGTGAGTTAATTGCATGGCTTGGATGCTTATACATGGAATGCTGTATTATCATTATTTCTTACTTTCAAGGGCAAGGGCATTGAGAATTTTGCGCCCATAGAAGTCTCGCGGTGCCTGTCATTTGATGGAAAAAAGGAGAAGGGAAAGCATAATCACTAGTCTCTGTGGTTTGTGGGATTTCACTTTTAGTCCTTGTAGTTTTTTTAAGTATTTTCAGTTCCTATATAACATTAAATTATGATAAAAAAGTTCTTAAAGACTTCATAAAAATTATGGCATTTTGAAGGATTAAATTATTATTTATATATTTTAAAGGGATTTTATTATCATTTTTGCAAATGTAAATCTATGTATCTATATAACATTAAATATATATATATTATCTATGTATCTATATAACATTAAATATATATATATATATATATATATTGTTTTTTATAAGATTTATAGATATTGTTTTATGAAAAATATATAACATTAAAAATAAAAATATATAGATATTGTTTGATTATAACCTTCCCACCCAAAGTTATGGTTGTGTTTTCTATTTCATAAATTATTCAAGACAATTTTTCATTCTTTCTTCTCGTGTGAAACAAAGATTGGATTTAAGGCAGAGAGAATAGAAAAAAAAGGAATGAGGATTTATGAAAACCTTATGAATTAAGTATTTAGTGAGACTGAGATGATGCTTGTAGAAGCTTGTTTTCCACGTGAGGTTAAAATCAAAAGATGCAGTATAATAAGAATAATACAAGAGAACAAGTGAATGAAAAAATGATTTCTTATGTTAAAAGGGATCCCTCCAAGGACATGACATAAAATTGAAACTACAAAGGAGGTTAGTATAACCCCTGTTAAGGATGACACATAAACTTAGTGATGGTTAAAAAATGGGAATGTTTTAAATAATGTCTTTAACCAGAGTTCATATTTTTGGAATGCAATCATTAGTGAAGGGAATTAATATATAGTCAGGTATGGGATATTCAACTAAAAGAGTTATAATCTGAAAGACAGTGATGCGAAAGTCCTACATTATTCATTCAAGTATTATATATATATATATATATATATATAAAGCATTTATCAACTGTTTTTTGTTATGAAGTTAACATTTAAATCAATAACATTTGTTTGTAAAAAAAAAAGTAATAATATTTGCTATTTATAATTTTTTTACCTCATTTTGTAAACACAAGATTTTTTAACAGAAACGCAAGAACTCGTCCATTTATGTTATACCAATAGCCCGTATTTGAAATACAAGACATCACTTGAGTCTGCGATCTGGTCCATGAGGAGTCCAAAACTTATTGACGAGTTGCACCTTCCGTAAATGTAACACAGAAGTTCAGTTTACGGTCGTCGCTGGCAGTCTCTCAACTTTTGGTTCGAAGACCCCAATCGACTTCTTTCGCTCTTCCTCGCGCTGTGTTTCACTTCGAGGGTTTTTTTCTTTTGTTCCTCAATGGAGGGCCCGTCTTCACACTCTTCCGATAGTAATCCCTCACCATCTGCCGCTTCAGAGTTCCTCGCCAATCTTCCCTCTCGAGGCCTCTTCTCATCCACCGTCATTTCTTCAAACCCGGTTATATTTGTCTTTTTGGTTCTTGCTGTATTACTTTATTTATTAGATTATATGCCTGTGGTATTTTGTATCGCTTAAATTTCTTGTTTGTTCATCTTAGTTAGTGAAGCTAACTGATCCAATATCAATTGTTGAATGTAGTTTGGAATTTGGATGCTTTGTGCTTTTAATAGGGCGCTGCGCTGATGTTATTCCATTTCTACTTCAGTATTACAATTTATTTTAGGCATCTTGGAGACAGCATTGGCATTTAGTGAGAGATATTAGGATAGCAGCGCCGTCAGATACTGTGTTATGTCAACTTGTCCAGTGAAAGACCTTGAAATTTAAAGTGTCGAACTTTCGTAGGAATTTTTAAGATGGGGACACGGGTTGCTGTTAATTTTTGGCATCTGAAAGAATATTGCGTCTTTCCTGGAAACATTGGTATGCCATGTGTCTTCTGGAGTGGGGAAGGCCCCTTTTGTTTTACATTAGGTGTTGTAAGTAGTATATTTTACTGTGACAAATTCTCCGGTTCCCATTAATCACATGGGTAGTTGTATTCGTTTTATTAACCATTTTTCCTCAGAAGAAATTGGGAATTTTCTCTCACTTGTTCATTCTTTTTTAATTTAGAGCGTTTTTATAAGTCACTCTGATTTATAGTGGAATAAACTCAGGAGCACTCTGAAGAATGTGCTCTGGCGTGACTTCAAAAATGGTTGGGAAAGAATGTGATACTAATTTATACTAAGAAAATAGGCATATAAACTCGGATATGGTAATATTACGGATGCAATTTCTCATTAACGTTTCTCTACTCCCTGAATATGGCGTAATCCTTGCTTCTCATGTATTCTTCACTTATAATGATGCAACTACTTAGTGATTTGTTTATTCTGATTTTCTTATGTACACATTACTTGGAATCAAGTGGTTATAATTTTATTTCTTGACTTGGAAAATATGTTTTCCCACGCTTGTGGGGATTGTCTGCTGTGAATCGAATCTTTATGTATTATCATGATAACCCTGATGTTATATCCTATTGTTTGAGTTTGACCTTCTAATTGTGTTCATGTTTGACAAACAACTATGCAGGGTGGGATGCGGGTTTATATTTGTGATCATAATACCTGTCCTCCAGGTCAGCTCATGCATTCTTCTTGAAGTATTTTGGCTAGCTGTTGCTTGTTCTAGCTTGTAATGCATACCATAGCAAATGAAAGAGCCTTTTGTTTAGAAAAATACATTTTTTCTACTTTAGAAGTGCCACTTAAGCTTTGATATATGGTATTTTGTGTGAAGCATCATATAGTTCATGAGTTTTCTACACCTGGCTTTCTAGCACCCTTAAGGAGTGTTATACTTGATCAGGTTCAGATGCTGCTCATTTGCTTATAACATGCCCTGTTGATGGATGTCACCGTTTTGTTGAAATATTATTGAATCTATTATAACTTCTTAGTTAACAACATTCCTAAAAGCTATAAATAATAGGGTACAATGGCATCATGTAATTTATGTAGCCAACCCCACCTGGTGGAATAAGGCTTATTGTTATTGTATTATTGAGTCTATTATGGTATCTAGTTTGAGATGGTATACTTTTATTCATGTTTTTGTCACCTGGATCTTTTATAATGTTGGCATATCAATAGACAATGACTCAATATAATGCTGAAAAGTGCTAGATTTAGCATTCATACATGGTAAACTTTCTGCGTGAAATTGTACCTTGTTTATTCTATGCAAAAAAAATTAAAGCTTGTGATATCAGAATGTGCTGTATTTTGGGCAATTTATGTTGAAGATGATAATGAAGTGTAATATTGTAGTCTTCAAAGTATAATTTGTCTTTGTTAAACATGCAACCTTCATTGTCTTAGTTTTCTCAAGGTAAAATTTACACATGCACACACTTTTTACTCAATGTTGATTTCTATGTACTCCATATCAATTGTGATTATTATTTATCCTACAATCCTCTTGGTTCATCTGTCACTATTTGTGCTTTTAAACTAGGGTTTCAATTTTCATTCTATATTTGCTAGCTATCTATTCTGTGCATTTTTACAAAATTTAAATGTTTTCTAGACTAGATAATTGTTGCTCAGTAAAACTTCTGACTCTGTTGTGTATCCAGAGGACCAACACATTAAGACAAATCAACAAAACATACTGATTAGATCACTCACACTGAAGAAACACAAAGGTGATTGCTGTTCAAAGGATGGAACTGAGAGCTCAAAGAAGAGGTACCAATCCCACTTTTTATGGAAGTGTGATTTTGTAATGGTATAATATGATATGATCTATGAACACAAGTTTTTCAATAGCAACATCTCCATTTACTATATTCTGTGAACATCTTGATAATTTTGTCCTACTACATATTATTGTTCATGTGAATAATTTTTACATCATGGCAATTACTGAATGTATATTTTATCTTAGTTGAGTTGAATGATTTTGAATGTTGTCTCACTCATTTTTAATCAGGGCTGGTGAAAAGATTCTAGATACCAGAACTTCATTAAAGAGAATGAATAGTCAAGTGAACTCTAGACAAGGTGAATTCATGTAGTTGCTGTATAGTATCTAGATTTGGTTTTAGTCTATATATGTACTACTATACTTCTCTGTCACATTAATACACTCTTTTATGCACACCTGTGTTTCTTAAAAACAGGAATCATTGTTTATTTATTTATTGACACATATTATTTGCTCGTCATGCCTTTTAGAAAATGACATTTATTATTCCCAATTTCCCGGGGATACGTCCCAAAGTTGAGATATTATTTCTGTCTGGTACATATTGATATTAGGACATGACACCTTTCAAGCATGATTCCTAAATACTTGTAGAAGTAATATTGAAATGCCATTTAAATTATAGAACATACATAATATCAAATAGTCATGTTTGCTATGCGTGTTAATCTATTTTCATGTGTGGATTTGTTTATAGTAACAGTTTAGAATCGGTGCAAAGTGTTTAGAAATGGACTGTTGACCAGTACATAGTTAGTTGTCTTTGTTTCACTTTGTGCATGGTGTGTCCTTCGTTCTTGGAATTTCTTGTGGCCAATTGCTACACCACTTAGTATATCATGTACATCAGTACGTTTGTTATAAAAATCCAATGCTGTCTTAACTTTATATTTCAAATTTGATGTTTATGTTGCCTTAATATGGAGTGTGGTCCTTGTTCTTGTCTATGTACTTGTAAATCCAAATTCACAAATGACAATTCACCCACTAAAGACCTGGGTTTGTTGATGAATAAGATACTTGGTTTGTGGTTTCCATATATTCATGTATGATTAAGCCGAGCGGCTGAGCCGTAGAAATGTCTTGCTCTGCATGTTTCTGTGGTCTGCAGTACACAATATATATAACTTATTTCTTGTCTCTTTTTTGGCTTTCCAATAGCAGAGGGATCAAACAGTCAAACTTCTACTAAGGAAAGGGACTTGCAGAGCTTGACTGTAGAGAGGCTTCGAGCTCTCTTGAAAGCTAAAGGCCTTCCGCCCAAAGGAAAGAAGGCGAGTATTAACTATTAAGACGAAATGCATGCATACAGTTGTTCATTTCACAATCTTGCCTTCTTCTTTTTTCCCTTAATTGGCAACCCATAGTCTGCGGAGTAGCATGTGCTGTATAGTGTATAGTCTAGGCTATAGGCGCTCCAAACATATCGCAACAAGTTCTTCAAAATCCTCCTATCTCGTTCCTGGAAGTTAACAGGAATGTAAACTGGCATATAGCCATGACTGACTAATTTTCAGAGTTCTTGCCCGTTTTATTTATTTTTTTCTGGGTGTTTTGGCTTTTTACTAATATGACCAAAAAAAATTTTGTAGGATGAGCTCATTGCGCGTCTAAAAAATGCCAACGGCTAAGCATTGCGTGGAGGGACAAATACCCTGCCCATGAAGCCATATATGTTGTTGGATAGGTAAGAATATAGTATATCTTTGAATTAGGAACTAGGAAGCTTTTTGGTCAAGCATCAGTGGTCAGTGCAAACCGGTGTTCTCGTTTCCATGTTGTGTGGTCAAACGGTACTCTTATGTTTTTCTGCTTAGCTTATGTCTTGAGCTTCTTCACCATTAGATCATCTCGTGAGTTTTATGTGTATGTAAAAGAAATTTACACGAATCTCAAGGAGATCCAACGGTGAAAAACTCATTAAGATTTAGTTTCACCAAGCTCATGTATTCTTGTCTTCGCTTAGCCTCTACCCTAAGAAGCACCAATATAGGTACCAGTATCGGATACGATACGTGGACATGACAATTTTTAAAAATTTTAAGATACGGGTGCGGTTATATAAATAATTAAAAATTAAATATTTAGATATATATACATATTTTAATTTCATAATTTCATATTTAAAGTTAAAAAGTACAATTTTAATATGTCCAATAAATCGACACTCAAGATCTAATATCATATCCATGCTTCCCAGCCCAAGCAGTAGATTTAACAGTCAATAAGAGCTTAAAAAATATTTTTAACAACCTGGCAGTCGCAATACCCAAAACTAGAATTTAGCATATTGAGGAGTGGGAACTTGAAGTCTAGAATATATGGGAACTAGGGATGCCAAATGTGACAGAGCATTGGAGAAGAAGATGAAGAAGAACTAACCTCCAACTCGGAGAGACAGGGTGACGGAATCACGAGCTGAACTGCTGAAGACGCACAACGCCTTGAGAAGAAGCATTGAGTCCAAAGTTAGTAACTGAAGCGACAAAGCTCGAACCTCAACTAAGAGAGAGCACTGTGAGTCGTGACTAAATATTGAAGAAGGACTATGCTCGAAGATGACGGAGAGTTAAAGCGAAACTCACGCAAGAAGGGGGATACGATCGACTGAACTGGACGAAGCTGAGTTCATTGATTTTTGGAAATTAGAAAAAAAAAAAAAAAAAAACCAAGCCAAAATGCCAAGTTCTAGACATCGCCTGTGTTCACCCGTCTCAGCTCATGTTTAACTGAAATTGGAGAAGCGAACGCGGCGTTTCCGCATCCTAAACAGGTGTCCATGTCGGATACGTATTTGACACGAACACATTGGGATTTTGCACGTATCCATGCTTCTAAGCCTCTACCTTAGATAATTCAGTCACGTAGAAGCCAACAAGAAGCCCACTGGGCACTCTGTTCTTCAAAATTTAGTTAATTAAATTATGATTGAAAAGGTCAATGATTATAGCCCCCATCCGTGGGCAGTGCATGTGTGTGAATTAAATTCTACAATGCTGACTTGGCATCACAAATTCAGCACAATACTTTCTCATGGGAATTTCCTGTACTTAATTTTTTTGGATTATAACCTTCATTCGCTATGTGTAAGTGCCTTTATTGTCATTTCCAAGTCTGCATTGGCAATGAATCCAATGGCTGGTTTCATAATTGAAGGAAGCCAATGTTTTAACAGGATATTCTGTCAATAAACGCATACTAAGATAAGGAAAGCATGAAGTATGAAGTAGTATACATCATTTGACGGTGATAAGGCTGATGCAAGACTGGAAAAATTGGGACTATTTGTTTTGTTAAAAATATGTTCTTGCTAATTAGTTTAGATAATCTCATTTATCATTTGTTCAACTAGTAGTCAACGTCTCTATTAACATTAAATAATGGTATTATAGCCCCTCCCAGCTTGCATGTGCCTACTTGAATTGGCCTTCAAGGTCTTGGTATAAAGTCCATTCATTGGTTACAATTGCACTTTGTACTCAAGCATTGAGAACGAATTATTTAGATCACCGTATTTTTGGTCCTATTTCAATTTTGGTGTTGTTTCTCCCCCAAATTGCAATCATGATATTGCCAATGCCGTGAAAATCAAATGGTTCGATCGTCGTCTATTGAATAAAACAGTTTAATTCAACCAATTGAATCAAATTAGCCTTTAGATTGAATTAAACTAGGCAGTTTTTATAGAACCAGATTTAACTTAAAACCTAAAGCGGGTCAATCTAGTTCAAAGCCAAAAAAACAAAAAATTAAAAAAAAGGAAAGAAAAAAAAATTTACGCTAAGTAGTTCAAATTCATGATTTTTCTTTTTTAATTTTCTTTTATTTTCTCTTCTCTAATCTATGATCTCTTCTTTATGACTCATGTTCAATCTCTGACTTCTCCAACCTTTGCCTTTAGCAGTAGTGATCCAACCTTTGGGATTAAAATCAGAAGCTCGTGAGTTGTGATGTGTCAGCATGCTTCCAACTCTGGTGTTTTCCTTTGAATTGCAAACTTGTGCTGACATGCCTCTACCTTTAACTCTAACAATCCAGGCATTTAGCCTTCGACGTTGAGATTCCAAACATCATCAACAAATTAGTGTTATATGTGTGTATATAAATATTATTTTTTATTTAATCTTTATATCACCGGTTCGATTACTGGTTGAATCATGAAAACCGCAACCAGTTGCTCTTTATGGTTCGATGTTCGGTTCAGATTTCAAAATATTGAAGATAGCAATTTACATTTATATGACAGACCACAAAACTTAACTGATTTCTAATTCGGAAACTCAATCAGATGACTGCACAAGACATGCCCACTCTTTGTAAATTGTGCCAAAAAATTAAGCATTCATATTCCTCGTAAATAATTGATTAAATTAATGACTAATTTCTTGGGGAGACAACACTTTGGACTATAAAGGAGGAAAACAACACTCAAGGATCCCAACGCATCAAAATACAGTATCATCGAGAACACTAGTTGATTTATGCCTCAGTTCACGTGCACCTTAGAAATTTCGGGAAAAAAAGATGAAAAATCCTAAAAAGTCAAAAAAAAAATGCATTCAATGAAGCATTAGCTTTGGATATTTTCAACATTTAAAAAAAATGAAATGATTGATAAAAAATCCGAAATGATGAGAAACAGAAAAAGCAAAAGGCACACTTGCAAGAGGCCTCATACAACAGCGGAACCATTCATGGTTTCAAAACTCGAACAGAAACATAACATAAATTTTTCGGATACAAATTACGGCCATACTTTTAAATTTTCGGGTTAGTGAATTACCCACGGGTTGACATATACATTTTTTCTTTAAGCCTTTGATTCCACTGATAAATAAGTTGTATTATTATTTAATAAATGCTTAATGCTTATTCGATTTCCTCAGCGTCCTGTAATAATAAATAAAATGCATCACTCAGTCATAATGTAATAATTTTCTTTCTAGTAGTAAGCCGTATGACTAAAATCTCTACTATCAGCAAACACATTTAGGAACAAATTTTCTCAACAGGTACCATGATCATCTTAAAACCCAATCCTCAAATAATTGGATCAGTAATAAAGCAACTATAGATTTTCACCCGAAAAAGGAAGCCATAATTTGGTACACCGAATAATAAAGGAAAACACATGCCCAATACAAGGATTGGAAAACAACTCTAAAATTATTCAAAAAGCTGCAGATCCCGATACATGCAAAATCATCGGCAACAATAATTTAGGGCAAGATGCTTGGCGAAATATAACACTACAAGAGTAACAGGGAGGCTTCTAGAGACAAAACATCTCAAGATACGGAAGTAACACTTAACACTACAAACTTCTCACCCGTTGGAAGGACAGTCCAAGTCCACGGAATCCCAGATTCTGCAACAGAAGTTACGAGATAGAATTAGAAACAAATATCAATCATGGGTCATAAGTTGCGTGTCCCATCACTAAATATATACCATCTTCAGTAATCTGTCTATATTAAACAAAAGGGTTTTAGACTATACTAACATATTTTATTGAAGGCCACAATGTCACAGCTCTGGACATAATCGTTAATTGGCTCGTTCATGAGATGTTCCTCAATGAGGCTGTCAACCGAGACCAGGTCATCCACTATAGTCATCATAATTTGCATTTTCTTGATACCGTACCCAACAGGGACAAGTTTGGCTGTGACATTGATAGGGAGTAATGTCAGAATTGCAAACAGGATGGTACACGATGAATGTAGATTACCATTTAAAATAAAGGATGGTATATTTATCATTTAAAATAACAAGGCAAGAAAATATCAACTTACAAGCACCCCAAAGCAATCCTTCCATCTGAACTCCTCTCACTGCTTCTTCAAGCTTTTTCATGTCTGTCTCATCATCCCAAGGCTTCACATCCAACAGAACAGATGACTTCCCCGCTGATAATACAATCAGCAAAAGTTATAACTCATAAAACAGGTGTTAGAAAAATGTCAGGACCCAAAGGCAATAAATTTAAAATCAGTAGGAACACAACTTACATTCTTTCTTCTTTGAAGATGCCTTCACAGCAGCCGCCCGTTCTTCAGCAGCCTTCTTCTCCTCTTCTGTCTCTTCACCAAACAAATCCACATCATCATCATCCTCCTCAGCTGATGTAGCCTGAAAAACATATATTTAGTCAACCGTTAGAATGAGTTCTCCAAAAGGAACAAAATTTGGTAACAAAAATGACAGTCAATTACATAAATGGGCCATAGATGGCTCCCTATTTTCGTTGAGAACTGGAGAATTATATATATATATATATAGAGTGAGAGTGAGAGAGAGAAGAAACAACAAAGCATATAAGGATGAAGACAAAACCATAACATTGAACAAGAAAAGAGAATGAAGAGAAAAGAAGAAAAAAAGAAGTCAAACAATTAACATCCATGTTCAAATTTTGAAAACAAGTTTGGAATCTAATCATATTACATTCATTCATTTGCGAACCAAGTTCATGCATAATATAAAAACTGAATAAAATAAAGGAAGATACTTGCCTTTGTGTCAGCCGGTGGAGGAGTGGCAATGGTCTCGTCTGCCATAGGGAGAGAACCCTCCACTTTGACTCCCGATCCGTCACCAGATACACCACTGTATATCAAGAACGAAGAACAAATCGAATAAGCAGGAAACTCATGACGTTATCAATCATTCTTAGACATCAGATGTAAAATTGTGATGCACTAAACATTAGGTAAATCACAAACTCAGACATAAAAAACATGCCATGAGTAAATGAATGGTATTGAAACGCGGTGCATCTAGTTGCAATACCCAATTACCCAACTTAATCCATAATCAGGCATGGGATTAGAACTTACGAGATTCTCAATAGAGCATCAATGTGCTCGTACCAACGGGAAGCGTTCACATATTCAGCTGATGGGGCCTTTGCCAAGGCTGCATATACCGTAATATCGTCCTTTGAAGCTTGATACCTGAAGAGATATAGCTTATAAGCACCGCCTAGAAACAAGGAGGGGAAATGGGGGGAAAATTTTCTTTTTTTTTTTTGGGGGGGGGTGTGGTGGGGGAATCAAGCATAGCGACTTGCCCACTTATATAACTGCGGGTGAGAAGGTATTCGTCAAGCTTTTTCAACCCAGAAGCAGAATTGACATCAACGAATGTGACCGCCATTTCTGATGTATATAATTCCTTTGCTTCTGCAATATGCATACAATGGGGTCGAAGTGTTTGATGCATCCATAAACTCAATGTATAGCAAAGCAAGTCTGAGATTCTCCTCAAGTACAACAAAGATTTTATAGAAACTAGAATAAAAAAAACAGAACCAGTCCACTGGACTATGACTCTTTTTTTGGCTGATGAATATATTTAATCTTATTCAAGTTTTGAAATTTTAACTTCGCCCCTTCATAAATTAAAGGGATGGAAGAGCCCAAAAAAGAAATGAAAATAAAATATAATGAAATCATAGAACAAAACATTCCATTTACTCTAATCTGCACTTTAATATAAATTATGTTCTTTTTTTTTCCAAGAAGCAATACCAGATAATGATTCAAATTTAGCTTTGAAGATTGACTACATAATGAATATATATATATATATATATATATACACGAACCACGTCCAGGAGATAAAATTCAAGCAAGATTTTTCCAGAAGCCACACCTGAATCAACACAATTTAAAAAAAGCAAAACCCATATGAATGAGTGAAAAAATGGAACTGACCCAGCGATGGGAGGAGAATGGAGGAAGAGCAAAGGATGAAGAAAAAAACCAGAAGAAGTTTCAGAATGGAGAGGAGGAAGGGATCGAAATTACGTGGAGCAGGAGAGTTGATGTCGCGGGATCTTGAAGCTCGAGTAAGGGGAGCCCAGCGGCGCACAAAATCGAAGGAGGAGGAGGAGAGAATGAGCGATTAGGGCAAGATAAGTGAATTATATCTGTGTATCCAAAAAAAGTAAAAACTGAAATGGACTGGAGAGACAGGCTCGGGGAGCGAGCGCGAGACGACGTGAATAATAAGTGAGTTATGCTTCGTGTACTAAAAAAAAAAAAAAAAGTCATATCTGTTTTGTTAAAAAAGTAGGGAAAACCATTTTGCTGGTACCTATAATTTTTTTCAATTTATAATTTGGTACTTATATTATTTTTTCTGTTCATTCCATCCTTCAAGTTTTTAACGTTAGCCACATTACATCCTATAGATTGAAAAATAGCTTGAGGCACTTACAGAGGAGGACAGTCGTTAACTCTGAAAATCAAAACCAAGGCTTCAAGGCAATTAGCATCTCAAGCAGCAATTTTTGTTGCAATTGATGATGGGGCGATCTTTGTTAGTAAAAAAACCATAGGGATCTTCGTGCAACTGTGCCATCTGCAATCACTAGACAAGATGGCAATCTTTGTGCGGCAGGATATGGGGTGATCTTCATTCACCTGTGATCTCCACCGATTTGAGCAAGAATGATTTCTCTCTCCATTTTTCTCCTAAAAAAAAAAAACCAAATAAATATATAAAAAGAAAAAAAAAACTGCCCAAAAATATTTGTGCCTCATTTGAAACAATTTATCAATGGAAATTGTTCTGCTTGTTGTAGAATGCATTTTTATGGCATTGATTTTCTCAATTTGGTGGGTGGAAGAAAATGTCGTTTGTTCTAGTTTGTTATAATTTTAAGTTGTGAGGGTGTTTAATGTAACATCTTGATTTTTTTTTTAGATAAAAAAAATTGCTGTGAAATTTAAGTTTTTATTTAAAAAAATAAATAAATAATAATATTAAGAATTTATATTATTTGAGATTATTCAGAAATAATAATATGGTTAGAAATTTAATTATGAATTAAAAATTTAGATTTAAAATTATATAAAAAATATTTTGTTAAGATATAATTTTAAGATTAAAAAAAAATTATGTGTGTGTGAGTTTAAAAAAAAGAAAAGAAAGTAAAAAAAATGAAAGGAGGGTGTAGAAGTCCCACATCGATTATATATAAGATGAGGAAAGGATTCCTCATGTATAAAAGAAAATGAAAGCGTGCAGAGGAAGGCAAAAAGAAAGTTAATGCAATTTATAAAAATTACAATTAAGGGCCCAAAATATAATTTAAAGAAAATTGTAAGTTATGACCCAAAGATTTGAATAATTAAATTCAAACTTATAATTTTTTTAATATAATTTTAGGACCCACAATCCCATTTTTATATTATTTTTCTCTCTTCCTCTCACGTTGTTCGGTGTTTTCTCTCAAGGGAGAATTATTTTCTTTTTCTTCAGGTATGCTCCAACTTTTCTATTTAGATTAGCATTTAAAAAATTATTTAACTATAAAATTAATTTTATAGTTATTTTTTTAAATAGCTTTCTAGTGATATGATTATTTTATAGAATAGAGTAAATATTCTGATTAGGATTTTTTTATAGGATAGTTAATCTGATGATATGATGGATTAAAAATATAGATTAAAGCTCTTAGGGATATAATAAATATTATATAATATTTTCTTGAGGTTGAAACTCATGTTTAAAAATTTTGAGTTAAACTCTAGATCTATATAGTTGAATTTATGTTGAATCTGAGATGTAGGGATGAACCTCTAATTATTAAATATTTATTTAAGTATGAATAGGTATTTTTGAGGTTATAGAAAGGTGATTTGAGGCTTTAGGATAATTTTAAAATTTTTAATTTATTTTTGAACGAATTTTTAGAATATAGAAGGATGAAATTGTGATACTATAAGTAATTTGAGGATAAAAAAGAAAAAAAATAATTTATTAAGGTATGAAAATTTTAAAAAAGAATTTGGGAAGTTAAATGAGGCATAAATCTTAAATTTGTGTTAATATGGATTATAGATTTAAAATTTTCTAACTCTTTAAATTAAAGTTATTTATTTTAATGTAAAATTAATATATAGTATTATGAAATAACTATGTAGATTGTGTTGATAAAGATAGTGGTGAAAGAGGAGTTGTGAAGAAAAACTTATTATTTAAGGCACAAGGTAACCATTATTAATGTGTTGTGATGGGTGTGTTTGTGAATGGTTATGTGTTGTTTTTATTGTTTGGAAAAATTATGAATTATTGAAAATAAATACTGTATATACTTGTTTGAAATTATTGCCAAGTGGGTTAAAAAAATTTATTTTTATTTATCATGATGAGATATTATTGTTCGGATATATTCCTGTTCAGATATTTGAATGATGCATAACTTGTCAGGGTATTTTAATGTATGGTGTTAATGGGAATTTCTGTTCGGTTAATTATTACCACGTGGTAAGCCCTCATTGGACCCAATGAGTGGCGTGTCGCTTGGTCTAACTCACCTTTGGCCGGGTGATTTGGCGTCCGAGCATGGCAAAAAGAGGATATAAGGTGTAGTCATGTAAATTAAATACTTGTTTAGTTTGTTTGAAAATATTGTTCGGTTAAATGTTTTGTGTGCCTACTTAGCAATCGCATGATTAGTTACAACCGCATGCATCATTACATATTAATTTTTGGTTATTGGGACTTTTAAGTTTCATTCCCTGTGGTTAATATTTTTACAGGAGCGATTCCGGCCGAGAAAGCACCAGAGGTGTAACTATGGTGTATGAGACACCATCTTTTACGTTGCCTCTTATTTTGGATTATACAATGTATCTTGTGCCAACTTAGGACATATCTTCTTTGTGAAGCATGTAAACTCTAATCCTTTTTATTAAAAGTATTTATATGACCAAGAGGATTATGTCTGTCCCTCTTGATTTATGATCTGATTTGAATATCATGCCATGAGGATTATGTCTGTCCCTCATGGTTTTAATTGCCTTTTAGAATATTTTAAGACTTGTGTTATGTCTTGGATGTATTATGGTAAAAAAAATTTCTACCACGATAATGGTTTTAATAATTTGCAAAAAATCAATTTGTATTTTTTGAGAGTGTTACATTTAATAACCTTTAGGGACTTCCAATATTTGTACTTTTGGTTGAACAGAAATGATTATGATGTTGGAATCCTATACAATTATGGAATCAAACTAAATGTCAAAAGGAGCGCACAAAAAAAGAGAAAAAAGAAAAATTTGTGGGACAAATCTATTATCTATATTCATATTATTAATTTTGAAGTTTCAACTATCTAATTTTTATGCTTCTAGTGTGGTCACATTGTTTACTTGACGTTCCACTTATAACCCTATCTTTTACCTTTCCTTTTTTAGTTTCGATTTATTAGTTGATTTACTTTATCTTATATGTCTTTTAACTTAATTTCTCAAATATAATGGCTTCTTTTGTTTCAGTAAGGGAAGTGTTATCTTGGACGTACATTTTAGTGGCAATATGATAGCATGTTAGACTACCTCCATTCTTATTTATTATTTTTTATGTGCTGCCAATAAAAACCAGTTACTGTGCTGCTAGTTTCATCTCCACTAAAGTGTAAGGGTAATGGCCAATGGAGCAGGAGTGGGGAAGAAGAAGATATTCCTTAGTGGTTACCATTTTTAAATTAACTATTTTTTTCACAACACTAAATTTCTTCAAAATTTAATTCAACACTTAAATTCTGTTTGCATTTGGATTGATGCAAATTTAATTTAGATCTTGAAGCTATTACCACATGTGGCAATGAGAAGAAGCAATGTTTCTATAAGTAGTTGTTACAGTAATACTTTTGGCATGTAATAAAGCAAGGACGATGAGAGAGGGTATTTTTAAATAGTTTTGTGGTGTGGAATTCATATGAAAGGTTTTTGGCTACTGTGACTTGGGTTTTTACAGGTAGATATTGCATTTTTATTTGGTTTAACCAATTTTGATTATTTGTTTTATGTGACAAACTGGCTTGTGCAGAGAGTTTTAGATTGTGTTTAGGTTATTTTTCCCCACTTGCTTATTCAATTTGAGGTTGATAATATTCTATTGGTCTACCTTTATCAATCTTGTATTTTTTTTCCTTTCCTCATAGGATGCAAGGATTCTTATCGGATTGACAAAATTATTCAAAATATTCCTAAAGATGGTTCTCCCTACTTCAAATCGCAAGCAGTTGCTCGTGTAAAAGAAGAGAAATAAGAGATTTAGACCCTAATCAAATCATCTAAAACAAGAGATTGAGGACATAAAGCAAGAGAGAAAAGCACTTCCAACAAGTGAATGAGAACATGAAGTGAGAGGTTGAAGAGAAACTTGAAGAAATTGAATATTGTGTTGTTTATTGTGATTATTGTGCAAGCTTTTTTAAGGTTGAATGTAGACTTTATTGTTTAAGAATGTTTGGGACTATTGGGTTGAAAGTTGTGGAATATAATAAAGTAGCAAGGTAGATCACTTTGTCTCCTGATGTATTATACTATACTGTATGTAATTTGTAATTCAAGTGGGTAGATGGACCACTTATGTTGTGAGTAAAGGAAATTATTGTGGAATGAAGATCAGTTAACAGGAAATTATTGTATTTTCTAATGTCATATTTTGTTTCTTCTTTTGTTTTGCTACTGTCATTTTTGTGGTTTTGGATACAAATTTTGCTGCCAAATTGAATAGCAATGAAAAAGAGCTTGACCAGTTCACTTATAAAATTTTGTACGATCATGAAACTACTAATATACATATATTATGACAAGGAAAATTTGAGCCAAACAAAAAGATGACAATCTACTTCACTTCTGCATGTCGATAAATAAAGAATTGGGAACAAAACATTTTAAAAACTAAATTTGGATTTTGTAAAAATAGAAAAAGTGAAAATTCTCATCCTGTTAATGATATTATGAAAACACATAAATTGAATCTCAACCATTTTGTTATATATATTAAAGCACAATCATCAACTATGCTTGTTTTCTTGCACCAAAATATTGCATTTGGGTGCCTTCGACCTGATTATCACTTTGAAAATCAACATAAAAGGTAAATAATAGATACTTGCTATCATATAAACTAAAATAAACTTGCTGTCATGTAAATGAAAATAATACCTTCATGAA